ACTGACCAGCTGAAACGCTGGTTTGAGCACTTCGAACAACTTCTTCAAGTTTCGACGGCTAACCAGCCATCAACATCTCGGCATGATCCGCCTAGGGTGCGGCGCATCACTCGCGTCAATTCCGAGGCCCCATCACTGCAGGAGATTGAAGCAGCTATCCGAAGCATGAAATCCAACAAGACTCCAGGGGTCGATCACATATCAGCAGAGATGCTCAAAGCTGACCCCATGCTATCCGCTCAAATGTTGCATCAACTATTCTGTAATATCTGGGACACCGCGACTTTTCCGGCCGACTGGATGCAGGGCATCTTAGTGAAGGTCCCAAAGAAGGGGGATCTGACTGTGTGCGACAATTGGCGAGGCATCATGTTACTGTGTATTGTTCTCAAAGTTCTGTGCAAAGTTATCCTGAATCGGATACAGGAGAAGATCGACGCGACTCTCCGACGGCAGCAGGCAGAATTCCGTGCCGGAAGATCTTGTGTGGACCATATTGTCACGCTCCGCATCATCCTGGAGCAGGTCAATGAATTCAAAGAGTCCCTTTATTTGGTATTCATTGACTACGAAAAAGCTTTCGACCGTCTCAATCACGAGAATCTGTGGGGCGCCCTGAGACGCAAGGGAGTCCCGGATAAAATCGTCAACCTCATCGAAGCGCAGTATGAGGCTTTCACGTGCAGAGTTCTGCATAACGGAGCCTTGTCCGAGCCTATCCGGGTAGTCGCTGGTGTGAGACAAGGATGTATACTATCACCGCTACTGTTTCTCATCGTAATCGACGAGATCATGGTAGGTGCAATTGACCGTGTACCGAACCGTGGGCTGCTTTGGCAGCCTATCACCATGCAGCATCTCAACGACTTCGATTTGGCTGATGATGTTGCTCTACTAGCACAACGGCGCTCTGATATGCAGAGTAAGCTCAATGACCTAGCCGAACGCTCCTCTGCGGCGGGTCTCACCATCAACGTCAACAAGACCAAATCGTTGGATATCAACACGGGCAACCCTTCCAACTTTACGGTAGCGGGGCAAGCAGTGGAGAAGGTCGAAAGTTTCCAATATCTTGGCAGCCAAATAGCGTCGGACGGCGGGACCAAGAGCGACATAGGTGCTCGTATCAAGAAGGCTAGGGCTGCCTTTGCGAGTTTACGAAACGTATGGAGATCCAACCAGACAAGTCAACGCACCAAAATCCGAATTTTCAACTCGAACGTGAAATCTGTGTTGTTATACGCCAGCGAGACGTGGTGTGTATCAGCGGAGAACACTCAAAAGCTGCAGGTCTTCATCAACCGATGCCTGCGGTATATAATTCGTGCCTGGTGGCCTCACAACTGGATCTCGAATGCCGAGCTCCATCGTCGATGTGATCAGAAGCCGATAGCAACAGAAATTCGAGAGCGAAAGTGGAGGTGGGTCGGCCACACACTTCGACGGGGCGGAAACGAAATCTGCAAGCAAGCGCTGGATTGGAATCCAGCAGGACATTGCAGTAGAGGCAGACCCAGGGGCTCATGGCGGCGGAGCCTCAATAAGGAAATTAAGCAAGTCGATAGAAATCTGACCTGGGCCCAGGTCAAGGCAAAAGCGAGCAGCCGCCCAGGATGGAAGTCTTTCACGTTGGCCCTTTGCACCGCTGGTGGTGCACAGGACCCTTAAGTAAGTAAGTAAATTCACCGGAACTTTGCCCAATTGAAAATTTCAGGGCAATTATGAAGACGGAACTTTGCAAACATCCAAAAACTGTAAAAAAAAAGACCTGGAGTTGAAGAAAATTTGGGTAAAAACAACATAAACACTGGAAAAATCGGTTGTACTAAACTTGATGGGTGGAGTGAAAAAGAAGGTGTGGGCATTCGGGATGGGAGACGAAATTGAATAAAACAAATTTTGATAATTATAACTCATTTGTAGTTTTTCATTTCCTGAAAATTTCATGAAAATCCGATAATCGGTTTAATTTTGGCGAGTAAATATGCGTGTGCCATTTTTGTCGAATGCACCCTTTACTATACTGATCAAATGCTTCAGTTTCTACAATATGAGTTTCAGCTAATAAAACTAAAAGTGGACGTTTTTCCTCAACAATCTGACGTTATGCTGCGTAGTTTGTTGACAACCCCGCAATATTCAAACACAGAATATCAAATTGATTCACATTCCTGGAACTTGGCTAGTATTTATTGAAATGCAAGCTGCTTTTCTTCTGATCAAAAAGTCTTTTATAGAGTAAACATTCAGAGCTAAATGTGGCATGGTTGACGTCCAAGTTCATTTTACGTTCTTTATTAATTTTCAAATAATTAACACATGTCAATACAGTTAGTGGTGCCGATGGTGTAGTGGTAAGCACGATTGCCTCTCACCCCAAAAGGCTTGGGTTCAATCCCAGTCAGCGCCACCGGGATTTTCTGAGTCATAAAGTCTCTGATCACGCTTTCCTTCGGAAGGGAAGTAAAGCCGTTGGTCCCCGGTCCATGAGTTTTGGGTCGATAGGTAGGGCCCAGGTGTGGGTGCTACCTCCCTGGCGTTGGTAGCATTGGTACTCAGTACGGAAAACGATATCGACGGAAAACAAATCAAGGAAATATGTCAATACAGTTGACGTACACTCCGACGTTTTGCGTTGTTGGCTGCACCTGGGGCACCTCTTACATTATATAATCATAATACATACACAGAGAAAAAATACCCTAAATTTAAGTTCTTTTTACTTAATTTTGAGTAATTTTGAGTTTTGCATCCCACTCTCACTTTTTGTTGTTGTCAAAAAGGGAACGAGAGATTCGACTTTCTCAAGACTATCGTTCAATAAGCTACTAGTGGGTATATGAGATATTCTCAAATTTGAGTCAATTGAACTTAATTTTGGGTAGGAAATACTCACGAGTAAGTAATTATTTTTGCCGTAGTCAAATGTAAACTGCTTTAAATGTGCGCTGGAGGACTAAGATCTTTAGATCAGACTTTCACGGAAGTTAAAGGATATGTAGTTTTTGGGAGAGGATACTTATTAGTACTCAAATCTGTAAATGTTAACTTCTATCAACTCAGGACAGCATCATGAGCTTCAGGAAAATGATGAAAAATTATAAAAAGTACAGTGAATTTTCGGGAAGTCCAGAGAGCTGTAGTTTCATTGTTTTCAGGGGTGCTTCAAATATTTTGAGCAGCTTCGTTAATTAATTGTAAGAACTTTCAAGAAGTGCCGAGGAATTATAGAATATTCTGAGAATTCTAGAAATGTTACAAAAATTACTAAAAAGCTGTGGGATCTTTAGAGAAGATTCATGAATATCAGGAAAATTATAGGAACGTAAGAATTTCGGGAACTTCGTAAAGGAACGAATACTTCAGGAACGTCTAGAGAAGCTCAGTGTATTTTATGGATTTTAAAGGAAGACCCTATGAGTTTCAAGGAAGTATGCATTAAAAACTTCAAGAAAATTAGAAAGTTCTTAAGAATGTCTAGAGAACTCTATTGAAGATTAGAGATCTTAAGAACAGTTTCGTCATCTGCAGGGAAGCACCGAAAAATTTATAAAAGTCTAGGCTTACAGGGAATTTAAAAATCTAGGAGAATTCTTAAATCTGTGGCGGCTTTTTTGTCTTAAAAAAAAGTGCAGATTACAGTTTTGTCATCGTCAACGTTTCGATCCAGGGGAGGAGATTTTTATCAGAACTAGTATTAGATAAAATAGGATGACTTTTTGCGCTGAACACGTTTGACATAAAACTTAGTAGCGTTTAGTATTTTTAAGTTTTATGGCCAGCTAATTGCAGAAAAGTTTGACCCGTATCATAGTTTAGTTAGAGGTAACCTCCTCAAATTACAATCATAGGCACTACTTAACCTTTCTGTTGAATTAGGAAAAATTTGCACAGTGTTTTCAAACCAAAAATGACCCCAATGCATGAATGGATTTGAGATGGTCGGGCGCACATATGAAAAATCAGTGAGTAACCAGCTCTTAATGTACCGTGACAGCACTGATGGGAACTTTAAATTGAAAATATAAAAAAAAAATTGACATAAATCCGTGCTCGGATGATGGATTTGACTTTACTTACCGGTATATAGCGCGCGTATGTTATTATTTGCATCGAATTTCTATGTTGCCACACAAGCCAGCCCAGCAGCTTCGATTTGCAAAAAAGCGAGGGTGGTAGTAAGGAGGCCATGGTAAGATTACGGAAGACGATAGCAAATGGTGGGATGGGGGGAGAGGGGGGGGGATTCCCAAGAAGATGGCAGACGATTCACTCAATAATGGGCTTCTCGTTGCTGCAATTGTAGGAATAAATGAAACGACATCCCAAACGAAACCGTGTTCAAAGGTAAAAGAAAAACTACAAGACAAAATAAACAATAATCGATTATATCGACTGCGCGAATGTGATGATTGCGGTCGGTGTGATTTCGTTGGATTGTTTACTTGCTTTGGCTCTCTGCTCTGCGCTGAATGTGTATTGCTTGCGAATTGAATTGGATTGCTTTATTTTCGAGTGATGATCATTCCCACTCGAACACTGCCTTGCACGGCGGTGAGAACCAATACCACCACCGAATGACTCACCAACTAGTGAAACGGGATTGATTTTGCTACTCCTAAATTTGATCCCTCAGCAGAATAAGTGACAACTCGTGTGAAAATCACTCACTTTCATCTCTAAATATACATACGAACTGAACCGTCTCAAAGGCTTGATATGTCGTTTCGGAAGGCCGCGAGATTCCGACGATGACGACGACGACGACGAAGGCGATTACCGATTTTTATACCCGTTTGTTTTTGTGATTGATCTGGCTTAAACTGTCTGGGCCTCTTCAATCTGAGCTCGGAGTAGAGTTTGGAGTCACCTTTTAAGTGGTCGTAATTAATTTTTCTGGCTTCTGGTTATCGCTCGCCGCCCGAGAGCAGTGAGCGGTCCGGTTTCTGTCATTTGATGATCAGTCTGCTCATGCTACGTTTCATTTCGTTCTCTTTCAGGCCATGTCCGGTTTCTTGATGATGCTCACGCAGAATGGGAAACTGCTCTACATCTCCGATAATGCCGCCGAGTACCTGGGACATTCGATGGTAAGTTTTGTACTTTGTCGTAGACTTTATAGAAGCATTTTTCCTGTACCCATACTTTCAATTATAAACTCTGTCGCATCGTGAGCGGTCTCATGTCTATTTAACAAACTGTACCTCCGCGAAACGTTTTGCAACTTGATACCTATCTCACACCTCATGCTTCTGATTATCTTCTAGTTGGTTCAAATATTATGCTTCCTGGTGGGAAGTCCAGTCAAGATCTGCAACTTTTGTGCCACCCACTAGGTACTAACGAATGATTAAAAACGTGTCACTTAAGCTTTTCAAGACACTTGGGACTACCCATAAGATGGGATTCTACAACTGCTTCCAAGAATTGTCTGGAAAACACTATTTTAATCAATGCGGTTTATCAACAACATCCGGATCGACAACGGTAATTTCCAATAGTGACATAGCTTCCTGGAAATGCCACGTGTCCATTCTGATTCAACTCACCAAGTAACGTTGTCACCCACCATCAGCCCGGTCGTCGTCGTCGTCGTCAGATTACCGGCCAGCTTTATTTATGCAATTATTTATCCGCTGATCTTATCAGGTAGTGACGCGTCGTTCATAAACAAACCGCCTAACAAGCCTTCAAGAGCGAGTGATTGTGTGCTAGCCAGGTACCACCTTCTCCGTGGTGGTACTAACAATTGTCGGTGCCCAGTCGTAGTTGCTATTTTTTCCTGTATGAGCTGCCCATCATACGAGGTATAGATGCGGTGAGTTTCCATTCATGTCACGTCGTTAATGAGCAAATAAATAAAGCGTGTACTTTAATTGATTTTCATCACTACTGAAACATACCCGAGTGGACACGGGTCTTCAAAGAACCCTGTGATGATTGTCTGGCTTCTTTGTATTTATAGGACAAACATCAAAATAGAGGATGACGTTGGGTGCAAATTTTAGCAAACGAAAAGAATTATTTTCCAAAGTCCGGGATGGCAATTCAGGATCTTAAACTTTTAAGCGTTTCTTGGTCGATCAACACTTGGGCACTTTCTTGATCATATTAATTACCATACGCTATTCCCTATGTCAGGTTTCCAAAGTTGCAAAGCCATACACTTTCTTACAAATCCTGAAGATAGGGTTTGTTTTATGTATTCGATATCTTGCATTGACTTTCTATGTATAAATTATATTGATTATGTTTTTGAAGCTCTTCCCAGGATTTCATTGAAATTATCTCATGCAACTCCTTCGATGATTTTTACTTGGGTTAAACTTGATCAAAGCTGTCTTCCGACTTTTCTTGAAATAATGTATGATTTTTTTCTGATATTTCCTACCGACAATTATTGGAAGACATTCTATTCGAGTGTCTAGTAGTTCGCACTATACAGTTTGGAAAAAGTTGTGTAAGTTTCTATTCAATATGTTGCAGCGTTATATATCATACAATATTACGGATCATGTAAAATGTTGAGACATAAAAAAAAATATTACAAATATTGTATTCAACCGTCTATCTATGTTAGCAATATTTATTGCAAGATGGTGGTTTGCAGTGTTGCCAAAATCATCAATCAAATTATATGTTTCCGCTCTCATACGTTCTCAATATCATGTTTGATATTGCAACAAAATATCATTGTTGTTTATATATTTTTTAATAAGGCTCATTTGAATAAACTTTACAGAGCCGAGGATTCTTTTTCACTATACAAAACTTCGAAAAACTATATTCGAAAGGTATAACACAACAAACACTTTATCTTCCCCTATCCGATAAGCCTCCTCCAAGAGAAAAGGATCCACTGAAAGTAATTTCATTGTATGGCAGTATCGCCAACGGGGGGCAGAGTGCTTCCATTGAAGCAATGGAGGCAAAGCATGGTCATCACTCACACACTCAGCATGAAACGGCTGCTTTCCAAAGTCGACGAAACATCGACCAAAAGAACTGCTGATGAAGAACAATGAGGAGGGCAACACAAAGGTTGCTCTAAACAAAACAAAATATCATCTTCTTTCCTTTATTTAACGTTGGTCTCTGTTCCGCAATCTAGTGCCAATCACCGACGGACATCGATTGCCGTCAATGGAAGGCAGCTTCCACACCTGCGTAGAATATTGCACCCATTCAACACACATGGGCTGGGACCAACGACTTTACTTCCCTTCCGAAGGAAGACATGACCATAGATTTTTAAGCCTCAGAAAAATCCCACCGACCTTGGCTGGGATTGAACCCAGATCCATTGGGGTGAAAAAGCAGTCACGCTTACCACTACACCAGCGGCGCTGGCACAAAATATCAGGATTGATATTAATTTTACAAGTTTATTTGATATTGCTAGACAATTTACAACATGTAGAAATGAAGCTGGCCATATAGAAGGTTACTGTCTTGAGCAAAGTTGTTCAGGTAACTAAGTCCTTTCGGATGATAGTCATATTATTTCAGAACCCTCTCACTACGCAGTGCTAGTGTGCACATGGACTTCCTTAATGTTATGTTATGTTCCTTGTTATGTCTCCAAAGCTTGTCGATATATGATGTTGCTGTGCACTGTGAGAACAGGAACCAAAAAAGGGATGACGTATAGACGCCGAAAATCGATGTCAGAAGCCATTTTGGAATCCAACATGGCAGCCATCGGTTCAAGAAAAACTGTCAAATATCCTACAATATGTATATTTTTGGAAAGGGGATGACGTGTAAAGGCCGGAAATCGATGCCAGACGTCATTTTGGAAACCAAGATGGCGGCCATCGGTTTAAGAAAAACCGTCAAATACCCTACAATACGGGTATTTCCGGAAAAGGAATAACGTGTAAAGGCCGGAAATCGATGTCAGACGCCATTTTCAAATCCAAGATGGCGGCAGTCGGTTCAAGAAAAACTGTCAAATACCCTACAATATGGGTAGGGGCCAGAGGCCAGAAATCGATGCCAGACGCCATTTTGGAATCCAAGATGGTGGCCATCGGTTCAAGAAAACTGTCAAATACCCTACAACATGGGTGTTTTTGGATAGGGGATGACGTGTAGAGACCGGAAATCGATGTGAGACGCCATTTTGGAATTCAAGATGGTGGCCATCGGTTCAAGAAAAACTGTCAAATACCCTACAATATGGCCGGCAGCTCAAAATGTTATAGTCATACTGTACTGGACATATTTCAGCATGTAAGATGTACAACAAAAATGAGCTGTGTTTGTTCACATCGACTGATACTGAGTGGTTGCGGTACAAGCACATATCGTCGATAATAGACGATTGTTGTGTATCAGAGAACGCTTGCGCAAAAAGACTAGGGTGGGGGAACGGATTCGAAACTCAAATGTCATTTGCCAAATACATCCGTAGACCATAGGTCCACCGTTGTATAATTGGCAATGCACCCGTGTACTGAATGGGAGTTGTGGGTTCGACTCCCACCGGTGCCCTTAGATTTTTTCGCAAATTTTCTCACACACACGTCTCTTACCGATGATATGTGCTTACCTCTCAGTATGTTCAAACTTTCCTATAAACAATATGGATATGTTTGGAAAGGGGGTGAAAATCGATGCCAGACGTCATTTCGGAATCCAAGATGGCGGCCATCGGGTCAAGAAAAATTGTCAAATATTCTACAATATAAGTATTTCCGAAAAGGAAACGACGTGTAGAGGTCGGAAATCGATGTCAGATTCAATTTTGGAATCCAAGATGGCGGCCGTTGGTTCTATAAAACTGTAAAATACCCTACAATATGGGTATTTTTGGAAAAGGAACGATGTATAGAGGTCGGAAGTCGATGCCAGACGTCATTTCGGAATCCAAGATGGCGGCCATTGGATCAAGAAAAACTGTCAAATACCCTACAATATGGATATTTCCGGATAGGGATTATAACGCCAACATAAGTAATATAAAAATGAAACGCCTCTAGCGACAAAGTTCCCAATTAAACGTGAATCCAGTGGCACAAGCTTGTTAGTCTAACCCAGTACAACAACTTTGTCCAAGACAGTATAGCTTTATGTATTGAAACAAATGAGATAATCCACCACAGCCCCTATTAGTGAAAATACCATAAGCTGTGGGTATCCTTATTCGCGGTTCCTTATTCACGCCCCCGTTATCCCGGCAATAAAGGCCCAAACGCAATATGGGTGCAAGCGGAACGGAAACAGAAAGCTGGACAGTTGTCACAAATGACATCAAGATGCCTAACCAAAGTCGATATGGTTCTAACTAGTTTTCAATCCGACAAGTTGGCTTACTCAGATCGGGCTTTTCCGCTGCCACTGCCGTTCCACTTCCGCTGTCATTGCTCTCGGGCCTTAAGAATTCCTGACTTTACTGTGCTTCCATCTATTAACGTCTCTTTAAATAAACCACCTTGAGGAGGTGGATATTGTTCATTCAAGACGGCCAAATCGCAACCAGCACCAAACCGATTAGCTTCCGCAGGTAGCGATAATCACGGGCTACTTAGAGTTGGCTACTTAGAGTTGTCATTATCATCACTGACACTAGCGACTTATAAACAAAAGTACATTAGTGACGACGATGATCTTGTTCGCATTACTGACGGCAAATATCACCGCCAGCAATCCCACCGGGCACCGTGTGGAAGTAAGAATCGGATGCACAGAGGTCGCAAATCGCCGATCAGGGCAGAACCCAACAACCATTGATAGGCGTTCTTATGCACTTGCTTTACCCGGCTGACTGTACTGTGGTAGCCACATAGTTCTGTCAAAATCTCAGCATTTTCATTGATCCATTGAACCGAATCGTCAAAGCGGACAGAAGGATCTCGGCGGTGAAAGCTACTGCTGCTTTAAATGGTTCAATGGAAGAAAATGTTTCTAGTCGTACAGTCCGAAGAGACTTCCACGACATAAACCTCCATGGTCGCGCAGCCATGACCAAGCCTCTGATAAAATTCCAGAAAGCGGTGGTGTAATGAGCATGAAGGATGGACTGTGGAAGAAGGTTATATGGTCAGACAAGTCATCGTTTAAGGCTCTGAAACGTTTGATGGATTAT